CAAAGGTACATTTTTGAGTAGCTTTAAAGGACATGACTCCCTCCCCTCTATCTGAAGAAAGCTGGAAACGATACAGGAGTGGGATGTGTCCTTGGAATATCAGGAGTTGCCTGCTGTGGAGAAGCACAGCTAGCGATGTTCCCATTTGCCACTGGTGAATGGAGACAAGTCTGTACGGCTTGGAGAACTGGAATCCCCACCCTGTTTACTCTGGCCGGAGAAGGGGTTCAGTCTCTTGGCGGCAGCATCTTCTTGTCGCATGAGCGCCAGCAGACGGGGCGCGGAGCCAACAGACGCCCACTTTTTGCTCACCTTCCCCAGGTGCGGATGGTGAAGGCGCAGCAGCACGGGGGCAGCTGGGACGTGGAGCTCCAAGGAATGCGCTTTCTCCCCCTCTTCATTTCCTCACCTTCACCTGGGTGAAGGGCAGAACTCGTGGGCTGTCCCCGCTGCGTGCAGCGGTGGCACAAAGAAAGGGGAACGTCAGTGACAAAACCAGTACAGAGCCGCCGTGCAAGTCCAAACACTCAGCCTTGACATGGGCGAAGGCTCTCAGACCAGTCAGCCAGCAGCAATAATCAGCTTCCCACAGGCAGGCTGTAGGATGAATAACTGTCACAACATTACAAGGTTAAGAGCGTATTCTTTCTTTATATGAAATTGCCTTTTCTTTCATCTTTTGTTTCCTATTTAACTGCTGTGTCATAAAAATACACATTGCTCAAAATACCTATGATATTTTGATAATACCACAAGGCAGCAATTAAAATCATGAGGTGTTAATTAAGACTTAAAACAACATATTAAAAATTCTAAGATATTATTTACATGACCTCCCACTGAACACAACCACAAATGACTACATATTCTTTGTATCACACTCTCTTTCAAATAAAAGGCTGAATATTAAATCAGGTTCTGCCTCCGTTTCATGAGCACATGCACACTGTGAGCCTATTTTTTATACATTTCAAAATCAGAATGCCAATTCTATGGCATAATAGTAATATTATGGTAGCACATTGGTGTTTAAACATGCAATTCTGTCTTACTTCAGGAGAAAAATGGAGATGAAGTTCTGGCTCCAAACATACATATCAGCAGACCTAGTAGATGAAACTAGCTGGACAACAACACTTCTGTTTATTTTAGTGCACTTACAAAGTTTGCCCTAGTATCAAATTATCATAGGAAAGTTCCTTAAAATGAGCTGAAAAACCACACCTTAATGTCTCTTTCTCAAGTGGTCTTTTATGTCAGATTAACTCAGTGTAGCCTGAGAAGTCAAACCGTCTTTCTGGAATAAATACCACTTTCTGAAACCTGCCTCAAGCTGCCGCTGCCTGTCTGCATAAGCCACCACCTGCAGCTCCCTCCTCAATGGGTTTCTTAAGGTCAGGACTAATTATTAATGCTTAAGGCAGGAGAGAATCAACATCTGTTTTCCACACCTCCCTCACAATTTGCAGTAGCAGGAGTAATTAAAACAGGGGATTGTGTTAGCAAAGTATTATTTGTTGTTTCTATAGCAACACGGGTGTGCCCAGACTTTTCCAGGAGAAAAATATAAAGCAAGGATGAATTCCAGCGAGGCACCTTCAGCATTCCCACACTGGGTGTTGCAAAGGTGGCAGCCGGAGGGGCACGACCACCATGGGGAGCTCAGGGGAGCTGCAAGAGGTGTCAGTGGTCCCTGCACCATCCACGGGGAGAACAGGGGGTCCCTAAGAGGTGGCCTGGGAAGCCCCAAGTGTTAACTGCGGGCTGTGTCTGTCCCTGCCCTTCTTAGGCATCTGAGCTCGGGCTGCGCAACGCCTGCCCTCATCCAGCCCCAGGGCATGGAGCACCCCTCGGGGGCACCCCTCAGGCTCGTTCAAGGGTGCGGGAGCAGGGAGAGCGCAGTCTGTAGGACTGCAGAGATGCTGTGGCTGGAAGAGCCTCAGATCAGGAATCATGCCCTGTTATTTTACTTGTGGCCCGTCCACGATGCACCACGAGGGTGTGCAGTGGCAGAGTGGTGGGAGCCATCCTCCTGACCACAGCGCTCCTTTACTGGGTTGTGTTTCTGTGTCCTTTGGTGGAATCTGAGTGGAAATGAGATCACTGTTCGTCAGCAGTAAGCTTCAAAACCAAAGCCATGTCTACCACAAGTCGGTGGATGCTGAGAGTACTTTAAGCCGGCTCGTGCAGGGCTGCTGCGCTCAGGGCTGCTGCGCTCAGGGCTGCTGCGCAGGGCGCACAGGGCAGCTGCTGCCCTGCACGTGTCGCAGAGGATTGGCTCTGCGTGGACAGGGGGGATACAGCCCCAGCCGACAGCGGGCAGAGCTGCATGGCTGCGGCATGGGGTGCCTCAAGACCGTGCATCCCTGCCCCTGCTACCTTGGCTTGTGGTGTAGATGATGTACTGCGGGGATCCTTTCAACATTTTGAAAAAAAACTGAATTCTCACTTATCTCCCAAAAAATCCAGGCAGATTTTCTGGAAAGGGGTCTTAAAACTGTGTGACCAGCTTTATTCTTACACACATTCAGGCTGTGTCAGGAGCAGCCACTGACAGCCAGGGAGTGCCAGAAATAACTCCCAGAATATTTTTAATCTTTTTGCTTGTATAGACGGTACCCACCACTTACCATCACTTGTTTTACTCACCCTTTAGCAGTGCCTTTAGAAGCAAGAATCAAACTAAGCTGAGTTTGTATTCCTGGAGGGGCATCAGCCAGTGTATCCCTGCCACATCTACAGCTTAATTTCATTTTACCACAAAGCTTGGTATCTGGACTGCACAGCAACTGCTGAGGCAGAGCTGGGAAAGGAGTCGTTTGCAGGGTCCTGGCTGCATGACCTGATTTTTGTTCACTTTCTTGCTTGGACTCACTGAGTTAAAAGCTTCACCTCTACTGTTGCTGTACATTGCAGCCGGGGAAGCTGCACTTTGCCCCGACCTGAAAGTCACAGTGCCAAATCTGAGATGAAATACAAAGACTCTCAGAAGTTTCACCTCCCACGACCATGTAACCAGTTCCTTTCTAGACCTCCACCCACATCAGCTGTCTTCACTGAAGCAGCCAGGTCTCGGATATTATAGAAATGCAGGTGTACTGGCCCCACCATCTGGGTACCAAAGATAGAGAATATTACTCCTTCCAGAGAGGAGCTTTGTCCTACAGCTCCAGGAGTGGGACAGCCTGGCTCTTCAGAGCAACAAGACAAGACCCTGGTTTGCACGAGTGCAAAGAAAAGCTTTATTTGATTTCTGAGCGCGGCACAGCACTTGGAAAAAGGGTGAGGGAAGCAGGGGTATGATACAAAGAGAAGATGCGTTTCGTGGTCTGCATAGCCACAGCACATAAGCTGGAATCTTCTTTTGCTTTGCTATGCGAGGTTTGCAGCAAACCAGGCAGCCGTTTGGTGATCTGCTCAGCGGGCAGCCTGGGTGATCTGCTCACGGGAGGAAATCACCTTCCCATCCTGGACCTCCTCAAAGATTGTGCGGATTTGACGGGTAGTTACAGGTCCTACAATGGAGAAAGAAGGAACCGTTATTTACAGGGAAGCAAGGAGAAAGTGTCTTAAAGATTTTCACGAGTAGATTTGTTATTACGAACAACTGCCTCAGAAACCCAATATAAGGACCACATTCCTACCTCTAGATACTTTATTATATAGTTTCAGTCTGCACAGATAATCTTCTGAAACATGTTTTGGTATAATATAAGAGTGGTTTATGTCAATTCACATTTTGAAAATATAATAAAATAGTAATTTTAGTAAATTAGTAAAAAGAGTCTGTGCTAAGAAGGTGGCAAAAGATATGACAGAGCTATGTGTGATCAGTGCTTCAGCCAAGACATGTTCTTACCTTCTTTCACAGACTGTGAGACGTAGTGGGAAGACATGCTACAGGAGGAGAAAAGAGAAAGAATGGTCAGAAACAGAAAAAAGTGAGTAGTCTCTAAGACAAAATCATTATTTAAAACCCCGCCTTTTCTTCTTGCACCAGTATGTGATTAAAATGTCTTCTGGAAACTGCCTAGGGTCAAAATAGAAAGGAAGAAAATGCTAAGGATGTATGTGTGCTACGGGGATTCAGACATAAAGGCAGCACGCACCCCAGCTGCAACGAGCAGCAGTGGTACCTGCTCCTTCCCCAGGATCTCACAGACACTGGAGGGATGGGAAGTGGATCTCAGGGATGCTGCAGTGCTGTGATAACCACTGGGCTGTCCTAGGCTAGTAGGACCAAAAAGGGAGACCCTGCTGCATGCCATGGGTCAGGAAACGGGCTCACAGGATCCTCCAGGGAATGCAGGTTGTTCATTTTTTATTTACTTCGCTATTACCCGTCTCTTCCCGATGTGCCCTCCCAAGCGAAGCCCCTCTACCTACTGGGCGTCCTCGCCCTCCAGGAGCCGGCGGTACGTGGCGATCTCCTGCTCCAGGCGGCATTTGACGTCCAGGAGGACCCTGTACTCGTGGTTCTGGCGCTCCATGTCGCACCGCAGCTCGGCCAGCTGCTCCTCCACGCTGGTGATCAGCCCCTGGAGCTGGGCCAGCTGGGTGCCGTAACGGGCTTCTGTGTCGGCCAAGGTGCCCTCCAACGCCGCTTTCTGCATGCAGAGGAGAGGCATGGGCTCAGGGCAGGGACGGAGGGTGGAAGGGATGGGAGCACCCATGCGTCCCCTGGCCCACGCTCCTGCGTGCCCCCTCCCCACAGGCAGCCGGCCCCTCATACCGTGCTGAGCTGGGACTGCAGGTCAATCTCCAGGCTCTGGATGGTGCGTCGTAGCTCTGTGATCTCCGTCTTGCCGCTCTGAAGCTGCTCCGTGTTGATGGCCACCTCCCGGTTCAGCTCTTCCGTCTGCAACAAGGCAAAACCGTGCCGTTACAGCACCATCGAGCGGGCACAGCCTCGGGTCCCACGTGCCCCGCTGCGCTGCCAGCGAGCCAGCTCACCTTGCTGAAGAACCACTGCTCGGCGTCCCTGCGGTTCTTGTCCGCCAGGCTCTCGTACTGCTCCCTCATGTCAGCCAGGATCTTGGTGAGGTCAATTCCAGGAGCAGCATCCATCTCCACGCTGATCTCTCCACCCACCTGCCCACGCAGGGCATTCATTTCCTGGCAGAAAGGAGAAATACATCTTCAAGCAATCCAACAATCAGCATATAAGGATGTTCCTCTCAAGACAGAGTTCTTCAGGAAGGATAGCGTCCTTCGGCAAGTATTTCTGGGGCAGGTCAACAGGGAGCAAACTGGTGCCTTCGCTCCACAATCACAAATAAAATAACCCAAATTCTCAGGATATCTCCATTTGAGTTAAATCTGGCTTTCTTCAGAGAATAAATCAGAGCCTGTAGTTGGCTTCATTTCTCAGGAGATAGGCCTTCCAGGCCTGAAGCCGCTAGGATTGTTAATAAAGCTCTAACAGCTACAGTGGACATTACTGAAATAACAAGTGGTGAATGGTTTTATACAGGCTCCGGAGAGGATGCGCTGTTATCCAGAATGCATCATCTCTACTTCCTTTCCAGCACTTCTCATCTTCTCTCCCAGCAGTTCAAAACTCAGCATAGCCTTAAAGGTTGGACCAGACCTCATATTCCTGGGCCCAGGTTGGACTTTCTTGAGCCTGCCTCTGTGCTCACCTCCTCGTGGTTCTTCTTGAGGTAGGCCAGCTCCTCCTTCAGGTTCTCAATCTGCATCTCCAGGTCAGCTCTGGCCAGGGTGAGCTCATCCAGGACTCTGCGCAGGCCATTGATGTCGGCCTCCACGCTCAGGCGCAGAGCCTGCTCCGTCTCAAACCTGGGAACACAAGAACAGTCACAGAAGTCGCACAGGATCTTGTCCAGCCGGGGACAGAGCACCTCAGTGCTGCTGCTGTCATCGTGTCAATACTGCGTGACCCCGATGGTGCATGGACAACCTTCTGATGGTGAACGCTAGTGAATGCAGGGGAACAACGGATAAAGCAGTGTCCATCTGAGTCCGTAACATCACCTTGAGCCTGATATCACTGGGCCTTGTTACTGGGTCTGGGCTTTGTTGAGCTATACACACACAAGTTAAATGCACAGCAGAGGCCCAGTGCACGTTCTCTGCACAGGAGAGGTTGTACCACAGGGGAACAAGCAATGGGAATAAAACAGTGAAGTTTTGGATGGAAGCAAAACAATCCCTAAATGCCTATAGATTTAGATAACCTACTGCTTTGGAAATTACACCTTCATTTTGAAGGCTTTGTTTCCACATTGCCCTTTTGGGTTTTGGGTGGGATTTTCTCCTCATTTCATCAAACATCTCTGCAGACTTTGTTCAATTTTTCCAGGAAATGTGGCTTACTTGGTCCTGAAGTCATCAGCTGTCAGCCTGGCATTGTCAATCTGCAGGAGGAGGTTAGCATTGTCAACTGTGGCCACCAGGACCTGGAGGGTGGAGGATAAAGAAAAAGCACTAAATGAGTGTCAGGAACTCCTCCTGGCTGACCGAGGGATGGGAGCACACGTGAGACTGTCAGGACAGGAATAGTTTTGGGGAAGCTTGGGGTTTCTTTAGCAGAAGTGTGTATTGAATCAGGACAAGTGAAACACAGCTGAGACTGACTGCAGGAAGGGGCTGATTACTCTGTGACCTCCCTTTCCAAAAATCCTTCACTAAGTATTTCAAAAGGCAGCATGAAGCTACGTAAGATGTGTGAGATCTGATGACAGCATTTGTTCCCACACTTCAGGGCATGTGCTGATTATGCAAGGGTCAAGAAGGAATCCACAGCACCGTGCAGATCTTCTGGCAGGACAGAAGGACCAGCAGGGTGCTTGTGCTTGGCAAACCTTGTGCCCATTTGTTCAGGGATGGATTTAATTTTTTGACTGCAGAAATGGAGCAAAATGCAGTGAGCAGGTATCTACAGCTTCTGATTTTTATATTACAAAACCAGGAGCAAATAATCTGCACTGGGAGAAGATTCAAGTCAGAGTTTGGGAGGACATCAGTTATGGTGCCAAGGAGAGGGAGGGAAAATGGATTCCCTGCATCATTTGCCAGCACTCCTGCAGCTCCGGCTGCACACAGCCTTCCTTCATGTTTACTGGGGGCAATTCATACATAAGAAGTAACAGAGAAGAACAAAGTCAACTCTTAAGTATTTCCTCCAAAATGGGGTGGTGGGAATCAAATCAGAACCAAGAGAAATCCCCCCAGAGCTGCCTGGGTTGGTGGGTTGCAGCAAGCCTGGCCCTGGGGTCGTGACTACCAAAAGGAAGCGAAAAACTCGTTGCTGGTCAGTTCCATCTTTTTCTCTTTAGCATCTAAATCACATCAATACTGAGGAGCTGAAACAAGTTTTCAAATTCTTTGACTGAATGTTTACAAATATCACATCAACGTTTCACAGTTTGCACACACCTACAACTTTCCCTGCATACTCATTTTAAACTCTCAAAAAATATGCAGACTTGTCCCTTATTCTTCATTTTTGCATTATGTCCTTTTACATCTGCTTCTTCCAGTGAAAACCACCATTTTTTCCATCTAGAAGGACATAATCAAAAGCTGACATTGAGAAGTCTCTGAATTTCCAGCCTGGCACTCTGCATGTGCATCTGAGACACTTTTTACGACATAGTTAGTGCTTACTAATTGCAGAGGTAACAGCCAGTGTTTCTGCTTCCTCTCTGATAACAAGACGTCCCACTGTGTTAATCACAGCATCCTACCTTGTTCCTGAG